ACCACCACTGCAAAGACTATTCAGGTACTGAGGGGGATTTTTGCTGCACACGGGCTGCCAGATGTCATTGTGTCCGACAACGGCCCTCAATTCACCTCCTCCGAATTCCAAGCTTTCTTACAGGCAAACCTGATTCGTCATGCCACGTCTGCGCCTTTTCACCCGTCCACCAACGGTATGGCTGAACGCATGGTGCGCATCGCAAAGGACGCCTTGAAGAGACTCACCTACGGGGACTGGCATCACAGGTTGGCTGACTTTCTCCTTTCTTATCGCACCACACCGTCCACTTCTACAGGGAGAAGTCCAGCTGAACTTCGTTGGGGGCGCCAACTTACTACTAGACTTGACCGGTTGCATCCGGACAGACTGCCTTCATCTACCTCACATCCTAGGGCACCTAGACAACTACTTGTGGGTGCCCCGGTTTGGGCTCGCAATTACGGGCCTGGTCATACATGGGTCCCCGCTTCTGTGTCCAGGATCACAGGTCCTCTCTCCTACGAGGTTGCCCTGGACAACGGTCGTGTCCTGCGTCGGCACATCGACCAACTTCGCTCTAGGCGAGACTTTTCTGCTGAGACTCCTGGGTCTTTTCCAGGGGGGGAGGGGGACCCTTTGGAGCAAAGGGAAGGGCAAGAGCTACTGCCCATCTCCACTGAGGGAGCCACAAACGGCCCATCCCAGGATTCTGCAATTGCTCCGAAAAGGAAGTCATGGAGCTTACCCACACAACAGGCACTCACGCCTACTCCAGCCAGGGAGTCACCCCGGGGGCATACTCACTTTCCACATACATCACACAGCACTCCAGCAACGGAGGATACCCGGGGGCATCCCAACAAATCATTCCCCGCAAGAGAGCTGGCACACAATTCCCAAGGTTGGCCTGACCTTACCCCAAATCCTACAGGGGGTCAAACATACACAGAGCTAGTCGAGGAACCAAGTCCCGACTACAACACCCCTAGCACAAATCAGGGAACACCTGAGTTTTGGGAAAGTACAGAAACCCACACGAGCCCGAGCACAGAATGGGGTTCAGGGATGGGACAGCCTCCTGACAGGTCTTGGACTGACCTAGGAGGTTCTACAGAGACGCCCAGCAGTGGCTATCACTTCAAGGGGCCTGAGGGTCTACAGCTAGGTAGGACAACCAGGTCACAAAGCAACAGAAGCCCTGGCCTGACGAGCCCGGTGGGCAAGCAAGCAGGCCAGGCATCGGGGCACAGTCCTTGGAAGACACCAGGGCACAATAGAGAGAACAGGCTCACGCCTCCCTCCAGTCAGGGGACTTATGCCAGTAACCCAGAGCTAAGAAGGTCACAGAGAGCAAAGAAATCTCCTAAGTATCTAGAAGATTACATAACATTGCTGGCAAGGCAAAAGCCAGTAATCAGTGGGAGCACTGGGGAGCAAAATGTCATATAAAATAAATGTTGTATGTTGGTAGTAGTTTTAGCCCGGGGGAAAGGGGTGTTATGTCCCGAGCCTTTGCAAACGGCTCGGGCGTTTGCAGGCAGTCCCGGGCAGGTGCAAAGCTGCCCGGGACCAGACAGGCTGTCGCCAGCGCCGTGCGCATGCGCGGGTGCTGGCGCGGGAAAAGTAACCCATTTACCCGGGAGTTGCCTATATAAGAGGCTGCGAGGCGTTTGGGCGAGGCTGAAGCCATCTTCCTGTAAGCTGAAAGCTGAATAAAAGAAACTGAGAACTCCAGCTGCTTCTCGTGTCTGTTTTCCCGCCACGGACTCAACACATACACTGGTAGTGGATAAAAAAATTGGGAGCAAAACAATATTATTAGTCTGGTGAGTTCTTTCTACTCAAATTAGCAGAAACAAATCTCTGTCAGTTGTTTCAAAATGGCTGTTCTTATTCTTCTTGTATCTTGTTATAGAAAAAAAAATCTGAAACTAATTAAAATGAGCCCTACCTTAGTTTGTATTTCAGAAATATGTATTCAAATTCTGTAGAAGATTGAAAATTTGACTTCAAAGTGCTTCTGTTCACATAGCATGATTTTTATTTAAAGTAATAATCTTATTTCTATGCCCCATTTGCTCTCTTTTCTTCATCCCTTTATTTCCATTATACTGCAAACCCCCTGCCTATCCTTTTCCCAAAAAAAAGTCTGTGCAGAAAGTTAATCACTGTGAACTAAGTCACAGTAACTGGTTTAGTCATCCAGTAAGAATTTCATGAATAATTGGATGATTTTGAAAAGCTAAACGGGACCTGGTCTTGTTACTACTTGAATAGGAAATAACTAAAAGGCCTATAGATAAGAATGAGAAATTAGAAAAATATTTCACAGGAATTAAGTGGCAAATATTTTTTTCTTTAGTTACCAAATAAACTACATGAATTTGTCCATTAAATTATGAAAAGTTAGTTTACTAACTTTCCAAGCTTAACATATCATAAATTATCTACTGCAAGAAACAAGATTGCAATCAACAGGAACAGAAAATATATGTACAACTGAGGGTCTAACTAGCATACTTTAGCAGTAATTTTGCATGATATTTTACCTAACTGTTCTTGTCTATTTGTGATAAGGAATTGTATCAAAATGTCCAAAGAAATTAAAACCAGCAAACCGCCTGTCCCCCCCAAAGTAATTACATGCTGCTTTATATATCAATTTGGGAAATGTAGATTAGTGTGGTTTGCATGCAAATAAGCAGATTTTGCCTGCTCTTATTAGTAAATGTTTTCTTTTGTTTTAATTCAGAAGTGCCAGAGGATTTAAAATAGCAGAATTATTGCCAATTAAACAGGTCCATACACTGAAGTTGGAGGGAACAGAAGATATTAACTGTCAAAAATGTTTGTTGTAAATACAGTATATTAAAGCAATATTGCTTTGTATCAGGGCTCTCCACTTTAAATGACAGATCTGTCACCCTGCCTCAGACAAGAGCTAGTACATCAATACATTTTGACATGGATAAATTAGTGACCAGTTAAAAGGGATGGCTAGCACTATTTAACTTGATTGACTGGATGTGGTTCTTCAGGAATACAATATATGTTGTGACAGTTACTAGCTAGTTTTCCATTACTATGCTATCTGAAGCAAACAACAAGTTCAGAGAATGATTTTAATTTAAAAATATAAATGAGTTACAAAAATTAAAAGTGTGTCTGCTCCAGCACGGTGGTCATGACTGGATTCTATGATCGCTAAAATCTGAAAGAAATATTGTTCAGAGATCTCCGATTCCACTTTTAGTGCATTCTACAATAATCAGTTACTGTTCAATGCTGTGGCTTAGCATATTATTTACTACTGGATAAATGGATAATTTTTCTGAAATGGAACCTGTAGAGTTAAATTTCTTGAATTCTTTGCCTCTGCAATGCAGCTATAGCATAGAACCAAACATATTCTAATAGTTGGCAACATCAGCTAATAACATCCAGGATTTTGACATACAAAAATCATTTGTTTTGATTATATATTTGAAATGCCAGAGACATTATGAAAAAACAAGCAACCCAATATTGGATATATTCTGGAAGACGAGCTCCAGCATGAAAGGTGGCCAGGGTTCTCCTTTTTATCTGGGACATGATGTAAACTTGTGAATGACCATTAGGAACTTTCCTCTGAAAATAACTGTACCATCCAGGATCCAGATGGCTCCTTATCTGCTGTGATTTAAAAAAGCTATGAAGACCTGGCTCTTTTCCTAGATCTTTAGCGAGGGAGAATGAGACTCCTTGCTGCATTGCGCTTGCCATCTTTTATCTGTAGTATTATTGGATTTCTTTATTGTGAGCCAACCAGAGTCATTGAGAGTTGGGGGGGCATAAAATTTTAACAAATTGTTGCTATTATTACTAATTTGCTCATGAGTTAAAGCTTCAAGCTGTATGACATTGAAACTTAGAGATGTGATTCTTTGTGTCTGGATTATTATCCCTAAGATAACTGGTAGAATAAACCTTTTGCTCCTATCTTCTATGTAATGTATCCATCCTTGTTCTCCTTGACTATGGTATCCTTTTGGTTGGTTGCAGGGTTTGAGTTGGGCAGTGCAGTTTGTTCTGCTTTGGCTCCTTTGTCCAAGGCAGGTCCTTATTGGTACTGATAGGGAGTGAGAGGTCCAGCCCAGAGCTGAAGTGGAGAGAGTACTGAGCCCTTTGTAGTGTGCTGCAGAGCTCAGATTCTCTCCACTCCTTTTAAACATCTACGTGAAGCTGTGGGTGACATCATCCATCACCAGAAGTCAAGGAATTCTGATTGGTGGGATCCAGGAGAAAAGCTTTTTCTGAATGGCTGCTGTTCTTTGGAGAATCATGTTCCCTGAGGTGAGATCTGCACCCATCCTTTCAGCCTTCTGAAAGGACATGAAGACTTGGCTCTGCCAACTAGCCAACTACCCAATTGGAGTAAATTATTATGAAAATGGCTAATGAAGTAGATATAACCCCCCTCTTAAGGATACATCTTGCTCCCTTCCTTCTCATCTTGTTAATTTTAAACTAATTTAATGTTATTATTTATTGTTACTAATCACTAATTGTAGTTCTAAAAGTTTTACTCTTTCACATCTGCCTTCTTTAAACAAACATTATTTGCTCATCTTTCTACAGAGGGCATTTGTTTTTTGCTTCCACTAAATATTAATTGAAATGTAGTCTTGGGAAATGTTGAATTCTTTTGTTATAGAAATTTATTTATAGTATACTGTTTGTGCCAAGGTGGTCATTGTGTTTCTTTTTATCTCCTTAGCCAGAACAGCAAAGACAGTCTGCATTTGAAAAAAGAAAACCAAAAGACAGGCTTAGCGTTGCTTTGCTAGGTCATTTATTCTGTGAGAAACTGAAAGAAGGAAAGAAAGAAAGAAAGAAAGAAAGAAAGAAAGAAAGAAAGAAAGAAAGAAAGAAAGAAAGAAAGAAAGAAAGAAAGGAAAAGAAAGATTCTCATTCTATTTCTGCTATCATTATGCATTGTGATGCTCTAGCCTGATAATATTTTGTCTTTTTGTTAGGAAAAGCTCCTCACTTCCTGCGGCTGCAAAATGTGGAGGTTAATGTTGGGCAGAATGCAACATTCCAGTGCATTGCAGGAGGAAAGTGGTCTCAGCATGACAAATTGTGGCTACAGGTAAAAGCACAATGGATCCTTTATATTCTTTAGAAGTTTCAAACCATATTGCTCATCTATGAACAAATACATATTCTGAATCCAGTGGAAAATTTTTGTGTAATACTTTCATCATTTCCCTTTGGGTAAGAGAACATTCTGAAACAGGTAAAATAGGGTTTAAACTTATGGCCTGAAAAATTATACATTGGAATATACTTAATATCTTAAGCAGATAAATGTTTAACATTATAGGAAATATTATACAGCCCCATGCATTTATTTACTGTATTTCTTCGCTATTTACATATATATTTTTATATTACATAAATAAACCAAATGTTTCTTATGTTCCTGTTGGAAAAAATCAAAATTAGCAGAATTAGAGATTTGATTTTGAGGCTGTAAAGAAAAAGAAACAAGCAAGACACTAAAAGCTGATCTTTCAAATGAACGGGATGAGATCAATGTGAACAAATTTCAGGATGCCTTACTTTATTTCCACTTGAAGTCTTTTTAATTACTTCTGCATTTTATTTGCATACGTAATTTATTTCACTCATACTACTTTATTAATATACATTCTGATCCTAATCATTCTCAATCACACCTTTATTGAAATTGTAAAGTAGCTCAATCTCAGCTACTATTTTCTGAAAGATGGTTGTGCTTTTTACTACTACCAATACAGTGTAGAAATGCCAGCTTTACTCTGAAGAACTGACTGTACTATTGTTTCAGCTGAATAAATTGCCTCTGATAAGCAGTCTCTAAACCTAGCACAAATATACCCTGTCAATCATCTGTGTTATCTGTTTGTCCTTGAGAACAACATATATACCTGTTTTTTAAAAAATTCATGACTAGCATCTATGTTGAAAAATAAAACAGAATAAATAAGCATTTTTTTTTAAAAAAAAAATGAAGGTTGTTGTTATAATTCTTTCATCTGCCATGAGGCGATGAAGGACCACAGTACCTGCTGAAGCAAAATTCAGTGTAGTATATGGCTGGATTGTGCAGCCTGCATACTTTTATTATATCCAATGAGTTTTTGATCTTGGGCTAATATCTACAAATGGGAGACATGAGTCACTTTATACTGTTAGGAAGAAAATGAAATCATATATCTTACCCACTAGGTGACCTTTGAATCCCTATAAATGGCACACATTTCAGAATCTTACATTTCTACAAATCCAACCTTTTCTTAGTGATAGCTTTTATAATAGAACAATGCTGTGCTGTAGTCTATTATCAACTTGACTCAATCCACTGCAGGATGAAGGTCTCTTCAATGAAAGTTATAAACCATAATCTACTAGGCTAATCCAGTGTAGGTTGGCAGAGAGCTGTTGTTTTGATTTCCTTCTCTAAGACTGAAAGAGAAAATTACTGACCTCAAATCACCCAACTGGCTTCTGTTCCTAAGAAACAACTACTCATGTAATTGATAGGTGGTAAAATATATAGTACCCAGTGCTCTTGATCTAAACTGAAATGGAATTTTATCAATACACACTAAGTTTAAGTAATTCATTTGGGAGGAAAGGTATCATATTTTTGTAAGAATTTCAGAGAAGGAAATTAACATGAGTTAGGGATACTCTTTTCATGAACATGTTATACTTACTTAGACTTTTCTCCTCTCTTTGTGTGGCAGCAGTGGAATGGAAGAGACACAGCATTAATGGTCACCAGAGTTGTCAACCATAGACGGTTTTCTGCTACTGTCAGTGTAGCTGATACATCCCAACGCAGTATCAGTAAATACCGATGTGTAATCCGTTCTGATGGTGGCTCAGGAGTTTCAAACTATGCAGAATTAATAGTGAAAGGTAAGTGACAAATGCTAGTTCTGTTTTTATCCATGAATTCTAATCACTTGACATGAAGAAGAAGAAAGCAGTAAAGATTATTACAATTACTTACAATTATCAATTAATTATTAATTAATTATTAATTTATTAAATATTGGTAAAATTAAAAAAATAGTAGTAAAAATTAGTAGTAAAAATTAAATTCAAATTTGAAATGCTGTTTATATTTTTAAAAACTTTGTATGGTTTTAGTAACATAAATTGAAGTTGTACTTTTATGATATTGCTCAAAATAAAGATAACAAAAATCTTCAAACAATTTTGAGAATTCCTACCACAAGTTGCATTCATAAAGCTTTCATGGATCATGTTTTATGAAATATATTCCTGTGACAGATGTATTATATATCATACAACTTTTCTATTCACATAGCTACTCTTCTGGTAACTAATAATTTGTAAATCTATTGCAAAGTTAATTCCTGTTTTCAGAATTTCTGTCAGAATTGTACTGTCTGAGACAGTCACAAATGAATGTGGAAATTGTATTAAATGGTATTTTGGAATCTGAAGAGAATTTAGTGCAATATTAGTTCAATATTAAAATATATAAAATTCTTAAGAAGTATTAGATCGGCGGTTCTCAACGTTTGTGTGACGGCGACCCCGTCACACAAACGTTATGCACATGCGCGGCGCACATGGGGGCACCGCCCCCATGCGCAGCGTGCATGTGCAGCGCCGCCCCCGGAGGGGAGAAAATGGCGGATCGCCGCCTTTGGCGACCCCCGAAAAATGGTTGATCGACCCCAAATGGGGTCGCGACCCATAGGTTGAGAACCGCTGTATTAGATTCTATTTATGCTGTAAAAAATTGGAATCCCCTATTCAGCTTGGACTAGAAATCTTATTCTTAGTCTTGGGTTTTGGAGGGGAAGAGAAAAAGAATTCTAATACTGTAACTTCTTTTATCTTGCCTGGAAGAACAAAACAGCATCCAATGAATCCTTAAATTAAGATTTTTATTCTAATCTCATTGTTATTCCCATAATTTTTGTGAATGAAGAATTATTCATGAACTTTCCTTGATTTTCAATTCTCTCCCTCTCCCAATTTATCAACAGTGCATTTTTAATCATTTTTCTACGATTGTTCCTATTTCTCAAAAGGTTGGTCCAAATAATTCATTGCATTTTGATGTGCATTTATGTTTTCATAAAGTTCCTTTTCTAATTTATTTCCAGAATAAATCATAGTTTTGATGGGTTCCATTAATATTGACATTTTAGTTGCACACTGTCAAATAATTGAAAAAAATGTTTATTTTGGTATGATTATGCATTCCAAGTATTCATACAATTTAGAACATTAAAAACATATAAGGATAATAACTATATATACACACTTAGATACACAAAGAAGACTGAAGACTCTATAGCAAGTCATATCATGTGGTTATGTGAGCCATGGTGGTGCAATGGTTAGAATGCAGTATTGCAGGCTAATTCTGCTGACTGCTAGAAGTTTGATTCTGACCGGTTCAAGATTGACTCAGTCTTCCATCCTTCCAAAGTTGGTAAAATGAGGACCCAGATTGTTGGGGGCAATATGTTGACTCTGTAAACTGCTTAGAGATGCTGTAAAGCTCTATGAAGTGGTATATTAATTATGCTTAATTATACTTAATTTCGTTGTGAGTTACACAATGTCACACAATTCTATTCTGTTCTGTTCTACTCAAGTTTAAATGCTATTGCTATTGCTATCATTTTTAAACGGGATACTGTGAATTTAAAATGGCTTAAAACCTCTCATGAGGCATGTGTGAAAGAAGAAAAGCCAACTTTTCTGAATAGCAAAAGGAATCTATAGCTGGATAATAAAACATAAATATTATAGTGTCTGTTATATTGTAAATCAAGGTGTAAACACTAATGAGTGACCCAAACAAGACAATGTTGGAAATAAAGAGATGGTGAGGTAATGAAGGTAAACTTTGGTTGTTGACTCCTGTTTTTTTTTTTTTTTTTTTGCTTCACTTCAACTGATAAGATAAATGTATGACAGCCTCTTATAAGGTCAGCTTAATGAAGTGTTGATGTCTTTTTGAAGTAATATGGATCAGTGCTTCTCAAAAGTTATGCATAATTTGGTCCGGATACTATCAAATTTGCAGCATTTTCCAGCAGCTAAAATGAAATCAATTTGGAAAGCTTCATTCCGAAAATGATTTTTATTGAATTATTGACAGTGAGAACAATTAATCAGTGGCTTACTTTCAGAAGTTGTGGGTATTCCATCACTGGGGTTTTTAAAAAAGAGACTGGACAGCCATTTGTCTGAAATAGTATAGAATCTTCAGCTTGATCAGAGGATTGAACTAAAAGGCCTCCAAGGTCTCTTCCAACTCTGTTATTCTGTTCTATTCTGGATTGGTTATACAATTCAGTACCTGAATCCTAGCTCAGCTAAGTAGCTAATTGCTAAGCCTAGATGAAGACAAGCCTAAAATTTGGGTTTGAATTCAAGAAAGTATATGGGACTGAAGATGTACCTTCTCTTCTGCCAGTCTTTGACAAAAATTCTATTTCAAAAAGCATCCCAGAGGATGAATCTAACTGTCTAAGGGGAAACAAAAGTTATGCAGAATGAATGTAGATGCCAAAATACTGACAATTAAACCAAATATAAAAAAACTGAAGCCATCCTATTTTTTTAAAAAAAAATTAATTAGGATTGTAAATCTATTAAACACATGTTAATGGCTTAATTATTTTTATTTGATTTAATTTTATTTGATTTAATTTGTTCAATTATATCATGTGCTAAAACCAAATTTCTGAAAGAAGAATTTGCTGCCAGACAAGGAACCAATAACAAAGGCAATACAATTTCCTAAAAGGTTGCTATATGATTTTGTAATGGTAAAAAATAATAGAGAGTAAAAGAGCACTAAATTGATTCAGTATCAGTGTTTGTGCACTCATATCTACTGCCTTAGATTAATGGAGCACATATTGTTTCATTGTGTAACTTTTACATATGAAATGTAAATGTCCCATTATGAGTGGAAGCCTGCTGTTTTGGCACAAAATGGCCTGCCCTGAGCATTTTGCTACAAACAGAGCTGTGTTATGATGCTCCCAGAACACACAAAAGTAATAATAATTCCATTCTTAAATGAGTCATTTTTAAGGTTTCCAACTCAGAATGTTTGATAGCAAACATTTGCATACCTCTAATTAGATGAGACAGAGTCAAATCTAAAAAAGTCAAAGGACATATGTTTTCCACATTAGAATGAATTCATTCAAATCTCTGTGATAAATGCATATATTTCATTGATTGACTAATTGCATTTCAATTCTACAGACAAACATGTTTCATACATGCCTGCCTATCTATAATTTAGGAAAATTACATCATACTAAAGAAGTAAAATAGCACAATGAATATGTTCATCTCTAAAGAAATAGAATATTCTTCTATTTTATTATTCATTTAAATTTCAATTGAATAAGTAAATAAATATAATATATAAATAAATACATGATCCACATTATTATTGGGAAAATTCAATGAAGGATTATATAATTGTGAAATACTTTATTGTGTAATATCTTTCAGTTAATATGTACTTAGAAGCTGTAAAAGAGCAAAAATAAAGATGAGAGTTTTTATTTCAATTGAATTGTTCTTGGAATAGACACACTTTCAGACTTTTACATCGTTACCTGTAGAGGTTGCTCCAATAAAAATCTCTCCTCTTCATTGGCCATATAAAGAACATGGTACAAAACATTGTTATAAACTTTGACAAACTCCCTTGACCTAGCATTGATTTTGCAATAAAACTATGTCCACTTCTCACTGCAAAGCTTGTTTTGTTTTGAGTCCATTTTCTTTTTTCTTTCTCTGTATGGTTCTGCACAGGAATACTGAATGAAGTCTTGAATGAGTAAAAAATTAACTTTGCTGCTGTCATATATAATGTTACATAAATATGAAGTAAATTGATAATATACTTATTTGAATTCTGTTTGAATTCTGATAATTTATAACTACATTAAAAGGAATGGTTGAGATAAAACAAATCACAGCACAAATTCAGGTTTGTTAATCCCAGCAATTTAGATAATTATTGTATGTTTAATACCACTGCTTTAAAATATATTCCTGTCAGGAATGTTACTCAATTTTATTCTAATTTTATTTTATTCAAGTACATTTTATTCAGACTTGAGATTCCCTGAATGATTCAAAATTTATTCAAACCTGTTATTTCATTAACTGAATTTTAAATAGTGCAAATGTGCCCAAAATGAAAGAAAAAAAATGATCCTGAATGAATTAGAGTTCATGATTCTCCATTTTATCAAGTGGGATGGATTGAAATCTAAATAATACTCCATCTCATCTAAATAATAAGAGTTTTCCTCTTGAGGTAGACAGTTATAGCACTGAATTGAGAAACAGTAAGTGGAAAATAAATGTATTTTATGACAAATTGCCCATGGTTGTGATGCGCTATAAAATGAAGTTCCTTCATCCCACCTCTGTATGCTATATGGATGTAATGTATGTATTTCACTGTGTTTCTGTGTTAGCTCTGTACAAACTGTCCATAAATGCTAGATTATTCTTAATGTTATTCACACAGATAAGAAAGGCCCTTTTGCCATTGTCTGACAGAATAGGGGATGGGGAGGGGAACTTACATCATTTTCCCCTGCTCTGATTCTGTCATGATTAAAATGTGGTATAAACAGAGTTGGCTCTGTCCTTGAATTAATAGAGGAACAAGATAATTTTTAGAAGGGGCAGTCATATTTTTTAATTCGCTCATTACATTAATTTTGATCATGTTCTAGTCTAGAGGATTAAGAAATGCAATAAATGGAAATAACTTGATTATCAAAAGTTGGCTTGGCTCTGTTGTTTGTGTGCCAGGGTGTCCATGTATAAGTGAAGGTGAATAAATGGAAAACATTTTCCATTGTTATTGTTTTGCTTTACTT